AACATAGAGTCAAATAATTCAAATCAGCTATACCCATCATTGACCGGCATATCAAAAATCACTCTAGCTCATTAGTGGGTAAAGTTAGAAAAATAATTTCAGGACATTTCAATATTATATTGAAAGCTTAGTTTATGCTGGTAATGGTATAAAATTTTGTTGATAGTCGGTCAATCTTCCGACAATGTGTTTAAAACCGCTAAAAATTATCACATTTTTACGTACTTAAGATTCTTATTGCATTACATTATACTTAATTGTATTATTTAATTAATTATTAATCACAATAAATTGTCATAAAATTGTCAAAATGCCTGACGGTTACACCACGAGCACTGCATTAGTACTGAAATTAGTGATAATCGGTAACTCAGGTGTCGGCAAATCAAGTATAATAATGCGATATTCAGGCGAACCGTTCAGAGAGTCATATATTTATACGATTGGAGTCGACTTCAAACTCAAGACACTTCTGCTAAACGGAAAAGTCATTAGACTTCAGATTTGGGACACAGCGGGACAGGAGAGGTTCAAAACTTTCACTACTTCCTACTACCGGGGTAATATTCATTGGTAATAAGTGTTCAATTTGCGTAAAATATCACATTTATGGTCAGGTGCTGACGGTATAATCATGGTGTACGACATCACCAACATTGGCTCATTCAATGCCATCACCGAATGGCTCAAAGAAGTGGACAGATATGTTAATGACAGGGATGTGACCATTCTTTTGATGGGAAACAAATGCGAGTCCAGTGACAGGTGTATCAGTTGGTCAGAGGGGCAACGGTTGGCCACTGAAAAGGGTGTCCTATTCACGGAGTGTTCGGCCAAAGAGGGCACTAATATTAATGCAGCCTTTCTGGAGACCACAAAACATATGCTGTCCGCTCAGGGCGTTAAAGAGCGTCAACATCACCACAGAAGCACTGTTGACATCATAGCCACCGACGCCTGTACTCCCATGTGTTGCTTCCGATGAACTTTCTATTATAATAATATAATTTATAATGACTTCCCTAAATCTCTATAATAAGTAACACTATATTCTCGATGTTATCGTTAAAATAGTATTATTATAATTTAGCATTTTAAATGTATTTTAAATCTTAAATGTTTGCTAATTTTTTGGATTATGTTTAATGAAATATTAATTTTAAAATAAATAAAAAATAAATGAATGAATTAACACATTTTATCTACATATAACACTCGTTAAACCAACATTTAATTATCTATAAATAGGACAAATAAATGTGTTTGCGATAGTTTTATATCAAAACAGTTTATAAATAAATGAGGTTTTGGAAGTTTACGTTATAATAAATTATCTATGCAATTTATTGTTATTCATTTATAATATTTATATTATTCTTTAATAAAATTATTTTCATTTTTATAAAATTAGAAGTCAACAAATTATAAATACTCTTACACAGTATTATGTAATAAAACCAATATTGAAATGAATTGACACAAAATACAAGTTTCGACTAGAAATGATTACTAAATGTTTACTAGTATTGATAGTACAGTATTCACATTTAATTGCCACAAAGTCTGATTCTTCATTCATCGCAAACTGCTTTTGACATGAATTTGTTTTTACTTTTATGATAATTAATGTAAGTCAATATTATAGAGAACAAACACTTATATTTGAGTTATATTTATCTACATTTAACGACCTATTAAGTAAGTATGAGATTAAGCAATTTTAGTGATTATATATAAAACATATGATAAACATAGTGTTTTATTTTAAATAACACATTATAACATTTGTTTGTTCATCAGACACATTTAATAATGAAAATAACAACAATTTATATCATATTATTTTATTTTGGTACAAATTCCGTGTATTTATGCCCACATACTAAAAAGCCTCCAAATATTGTACTTATAATTGCTGATGATTATGGTTAATATACATTTAATATACTTATACTTTAAAAGTTTCAAAACTATTAACAAATTGAAATCTATTGATTGTGTCCAATAGGTTGGGGAGACGTCAGTTTTCATGGCTCACAACAGGTCAAGACACCAAACATAGACCTACTGGCCAGTGGTGGCATCATTTTGAACAACTATTATGTGTCGCCCATATGTTCGCCATCGAGAAGTGCTATCCTAACCGGTTATCATCCCATCCATACGGGTCTACAACACGATG